AAAACATCCTGACAAATGGCAGGAGTTAAAGGAAAAAGTAAGAGGGAAGGATTCATTGTAACACAAGAGATTATTTTAGAAGTAAATGTGCCTGGCTTGATGAAATGCTGTGTTTGGAGGCCATGCTGAAGACAGCTGGTGATGGAGTGGTGTAGAAACGAACAGTGAAGACAGGCAGCAGCGTGTAAAGAAATAACATCAGAGGAGGAGCTGCAGCATTTTCTAGCAGAGGGGAAATGAGAAAAGACTTAATCTGGTGATCGCTTTTCAGGGCAGGGAGAGGTCTGCTTGTGGCAAGTGGGCTGAATGACAAAAATGGAGATGAGGGGAGAGGAGTGCACACGTCCCCTTCCAAGATTTGAGTTACCTCCTGTAGTCCTTTGGAGGTGTCTTCTCTGCACCATTGCTGACAGAGGAATGCTTTACTTTTAGCCCCTCTTTAGAGGAACCAGCAGGTCCAGCTTTTCTGTTGACTCGTTGTAGCACTGTTAGGGATGTCTCGTATGTGAACTCTCAAGTGTTTTAGGATGACCTATAGCATCTAAATACTGCAACAGCGAGGAAGAAAAATAGGTTTAGTTAACAGGTGTGTTTCAGAGCAGCCTGCTTGGTGCAGGCTTTCGTTTGGCTCAAAGGACCAGAGTTACATAAATAATGAGCTTGTAACAGGCATTTAAGCCTTATCTGTGACTCGTGAGAAAGGACAAAGAGTACAAACTTGCCAGCGGTGTTTGCTTCCCCATAGGTGTTTACGGGAGTATGCATGAAAAAGCAGTGACATTGTCAAGTTTATATTTATTCTTTCAAAAAGTGCTGTGTATAATGGCTATTCAGCTTTTCATAGAAGAACTGAGCTATGATAGGAGGCACTTTCTGAAAACATGCTTTTCCTCAGACCACAAGGTTACCAGGTTAATGATTAGTTAAGGACAATGTTTTTATATCAGCTAATGCTGCTCGCAAGGACCACTTGCTGTTAAGGTGCATTAATAACTTGTTCTGTAGTTTGCCTTTTGCTATTGACTCATATCGACCTTCTCACTTCCAGGCTGAGCATTTTTTGGTTTGGATTTTTTTTGTGTATTTTTCTGTTTTGTGTCTTAATATAAGCAGCTTGCAACACTACTAGTGGAATCAAATGCTGGTTCTTAAAGTTTTTGTTTTTATTCCCATGATCAAGATACCGTGGCTTAAAATTTTTTTTTTTAAAGACTTGATTTTGGAGGATTTGGAACAATCTAAAATACAATCGTCAGGAAAAACTGAGGCTGTCCCCCAGCTGAAAGAGGATTACTTGTGATTTCATTAGTTTTAGTACAGAGACTGAAAGCAATTTACCATCAAATATAAGTTGTAGAGATCAAAATCTCTCCAGACTGGTTTGGATGAGAAAGCAGTTGCATGGACTGGAAGGCGACTGAGAAGCCCAAAACAAAGGCAGTGCGTTTCCTGAAGGAAAAAATGTTTAAGGAAGAGAATCTAGGGATAAGTGCCATTTAACTTAACATCTGTAAGGGCAGGGACATTACCTATGTTGTACGTAGTGATGAAATCCATACACTACAGAAGGAGTTTACTGCAAGGTCAGAAATGTAATGCTGTGGTACTAGAGGTGCCATGATAGGATTTCTCAAAGGAGGGAGCAGTCATGGTCAAGATGCACTCGTGGACAGTGTGAGGGAAAGGTTAGCAAACAGGATTTGAAGATCTAAATCTGACTCCTGACAAATAAGACACAGGTTTGCACTGGCAAAGAGGCAATAGGTGCAGTTTTGAATTCTGTGTACAAAAGCTTTATACTGCAGAAGGTCATCTCTGTGAGAGATTCCTTATCAGAAATGAAAGCAAACTCAGGGGAATTGGAACAAGAGTGCCTTCTGCCTCCTCCCCAGTAAACTACAGCAGTTCTTCGCCATTTTCCTATTAAAGGGTTTAGCTAAACTGTTCTGGTGACTGTTACCTTTAATACTCCATCTTGGACGCGTAGTTGAGTGCTTTGCTTAATGTTAATTAAGGGACTTAGTAAATTTTACTTACTTACTCCTTATTAACTTTGCCTATAAACTTGATGCTATATCTGGTAATTCTCTTCTGCTTTTAGAATTTGTCAACCTTGAGATTTCAAGGCTAAAGCCGAAAGGCTGGAAGTTGTCACAGCTCTAGTCTGAAACTGCACAGGAACTCAACAGGAATTGTGACTTAATGCTTGCATTGGCTTTGCATCACAGCTGTGGTGCACAGATGTATTAAATGCAGAGATTAAGTTGTCCTCTTGTGCTCTGGAAAGGGCACCCTTGCTAATGCAAAGTTAGGCGTGACTAATTGGGAAGTGATCCGTTAAATAAACGTAGCTCCAAAGCAATTAGGTTGAAGTCTGTTGTTGAATTTCTGCTGCAAACTAAACGATTTCCATCTGTTTTTAGGTGTCTTTGTATCCAGTGTTGTTCTGGTCTTACAACAGCGAGCACTTTTCAAGTTTTATATGATGACCTCTGCATTTCTGCTGGCTGCAACTTCAGTGTTGGTGAATTACTACGCTTCTTTGCACATAAATTTCTACAGTGCCTACTACACAGCTGCGCTAGGAATTCAGATCTTCCCTCATAAAGGACCGTCGCTATGGATGGCGCTTTCCATCCTTCAGCTTACCTTTGGAATTGGATACGTGACACTGCTGAACATGCAGTCCATATACTCTCAACTCATCATCCTGGATATACTGATTCCTGTAATTGGCTTGATTGTTGAATTACCTTTAAATGTTCGACAGATGCTAGTTTTTATTTCAGGCCTAGTTCTGACACTAAATACCACAGCCATTTTAGTTACGAAAATTAAATGGTTCTATTATTCAATGCGATATGTTTACCTGCTGGTGAGGCACATGTATCGCATTTATGGATTACAGCTATTGATGGAAGATACATGGAGGAGGATTCGGTTTCCAGCTGTACTGCGTGTCTTCTGGCTGACGAGACTTACAGCACAAGCTGTGGTATTAACGTATGTTGTAAAGATGGCGGAAACTAATACAGAAGAAAAATCCTTCTTGATATCATGGGATAACTGCTGGGAACTGATCTGCAGCCTGATCATAAGCGGGTGTGACTCCACCTTGACTGTGTTAGGCATGAGTGCCGTCATTTCCTCAATAGCGCATTATTTGGGACTCGGTATCTTGGCCTTCATTGGATCAACTGACGAGGACGACAAAAGGCTTGGATTTGTAGCGCCCGTCTTGTTTTTCATTTTAGCTCTGCAGACTGGCTTAAGTGGACTGAAACCAGAAGAACGGTTAGTTCGCCTGAGTCGAAACATGTGCCTTTTGCTGACTGCAGTCCTGCATTTTATCCATGGAATGACAGACCCCGTGCTGATGTCTCTTAGTACCTCCCACGTGTCATCATTTCGCAGACACTTCCCCGTACTGTTTGTTTCCGCTTGCCTTTTCATCCTGCCAGTTCTGCTCAGTTACATCCTCTGGCACCACTATGCACTAAATACGTGGCTTTTTGCAGTTACAGCATTCTGTGTCGAGCTTTGCCTAAAAGTAATAGTTTCTGTCACTGTTTATATATTGTTTATGATCGATGGCTACTATAATGTGCTATGGGAAAAACTTGATGACTATGTCTATTACGTTCGTTCAACTGGCAATATTATTGAGTTTATATTTGGAGTTATCATGTTTGGAAATGGAGCGTACACGATGGTTTTTGAATCGGGAAGCAAGATCCGTGCTTGCATGATGTGTCTACACGCGTACTTCAACATCTACTTGCAAGCAAAGAATGGCTGGAAGACTTTTATAAATCGACGGACTGCTGTTAAGAAAATAAACTCGCTTCCAGAGGTAAATGGAAGTCGGTTACGTGAAATAGATGATGTCTGTGCAATCTGCTACCATGAATTCACCACCTCGGCTCGCATTACTCCATGCAACCATTACTTTCATGCACTTTGTCTTCGGAAGTGGCTGTACATCCAGGACACTTGCCCGATGTGCCATCAGAAAGTGTATATTGAGGACAAGGAAAATGCCAATATCTCGAACAACAACGGGTTTGTGGCACCAAATGAGAATCCTGTACAAGTTGCAGAAGCAGCTGGTGATGTTGAAGATGAATTAAATGAAGATAATGACAGTTCCGACAGTGATATGGAAGAAGATGACGATGACTGTGTGGCACAGCACTTGAATGAGACTCTTAATGTTGACTCTAACTCTCTTGGTGATTAAGATGCCCTTTATTAAGCTGTGAGGTATTTGATTAAGATTGACTTCAACAGAGTAGAGCGTCACTTTGTAGTTATTGTACTTAAGCACAACAGCAGTATCTCAGTGTTGAGTCTGTGAATGGTGGTTGTTTACTGTGGTGTGTGCTACTGTAAATATACCTCTGATTTCTGCTGGTCTCTTTCATGACCACCTTGAAATTATGTACATTATTGTACATGGAATAAAATGTTTTCACATGTTTTTAAGATGGTTGGAAAAACACTCTTTAATTGATGTAGTGATAATGTTGTGCCAAAGACTGTATTCCAGTAATCCCTGATCCATGAGTTCTGGATGCAAATGAAAAATTCTGGCAAAAACAGACTGTTCGGCAGGTGAAATCGGAAATGAAAAGCCTGAACCAAAGCAGCTTTACTTAAAAAATCAGTATTAGCAGAGCTTTATTGCTAAAAACTAGTGAGTTGTGTTTTAAAAAACATAGGTTGGTAGACTTAATATTACAGCATTTGCATATATGGAACAAAAGACAAAACTGCTAAGCTTTCTGGTGAGGTATTAAAGCATGTCAGCGATGCGTTAAATACTGCTCAAGTACCAGTAATAGCTTGAAGTGCTCTACAGCTGAACTTAGCAGCCTGGTATTCAATCACCTGGTCATGAAACGGGTGTTAACAAGAGTTGCAAGCTTGGGCTACCCTTTAAACTGATGCTGAATCTTGATAAAAGGGAAACAGGGCTGAGAAACTGCACAAATGCAGACCACCTTTTCAAAAGCAGCTTTAATCTTGTACCATTTAAAAAAAAAGCGTCACTACATACCGGCTTCCATTGATAAGAACTTGCAGATATGGTAATTTTTGAGATTTTGCAATAACATTTACTGAAGTTATGCTGAATAAATGTAAGAAAAACAACTACATATTTGGAAAGAAGACTTTAATAGTGTTGTTATATAGAGTGTTGGCCAGCTCGAGTCGGTCATCTTCTCTTACTGCTGCCATTATTTCCAGTATTTGACTAAAAAAGAAAGGTTGATATTAGAAGACTCTGAGACTCAGTACTGAATATACTTCAGACTGCTGCATGTGTGTGTACAAGTCACTAAGACTAACCTGGAATAAAAACTTATGCTGAGAGCAGCAGGGCAAGGTGCTCAGATATGCAAACAGCTTCACTTTTAAGTCACTAACTGCCATTCCCTTCACACTGGTTGCTCCACTGGTACAGATTAATCTTCGGTCTTTCTTTTGACTCTTGTTTGGAGGTAATTAAACAGCTTTCTGTTTCAAAGAAAATGTCATTTTGTGGGTGTCTTTATCAATGTTCTTCATTTTTTCAGGCTGGAATTCATTGGCCTTTTAAGGCTAAAGCTGCACTGGGAATCAACTGGTCTATGGCAAAGCTTAAATTCCAGATAGAGCTTTATCTGAGAGTATAGATGCCAGAGTAACTTATTCCTATTTCCCCCTTCTCTAGATTGTGATTAGTGCATTAAGGTAGTTGTAGTAAATATTAAATGAGCAGTTTTAGAAGGCCCATAGTCTTGATACAAGCCAGGAGAAGGAGGCCAAAGAAATGGGAATGAATAATACTAACACTAAGTAACAGAAAACAAGGCCACAATCTTTTCTCTGTACTTCGTTTCATTTTGTAGCAATCATTCTGAAAAAAAAATAGTATTCTGTACTGTTCCTAAGATGCACGATACTTCCTTTTTTCTTCTAGTATTAGGAAAACAACTTCATGAAGAGTAAGAACCTCAAGCTCAGTGGTAGGGTTTGTTGGCTTTGCTGTTCTCTTGCTACAGAATAGCTAAACTTCTTTTTGAGGAAAACAAAGTGGAAAAAGTTGCACTTAATTACTGGAATACAAATATTTTCCTAGATGCAGAATTAACCCATTTTATAACCACTCCTCTGCTTTGCAGCAAAAAAGCTTCTTGATTTAAGGGGATATTCAAGATGAGACAGGGTGAGGTCATGCCTCCACAGAAGAAGGTAACAAATATCAAAGAACTTAATTCTTGAGTCTTGGTAGGGCTTGCATGACTCTATCCCCACTAGCAAGCAGCAGGTGCTACACGCCACTGTCACACTGTGTATGAAATCACTGAAGGAGGGGGAAAAAAAGCCTTGTGGGGCTAAAATTTTTAAAAAATGGCTTCCAAGGGGAGTAGTGTACTTCTAAAAATATGTATTAAGTTGAAATATCACCATCAAAATGGAAAAGTGTCCAGCACCACCAAAAAAAGACAACTAGAACATTCCTCCTGACAACTGAGCTGTATTAAACAGTATAAATACCCTGAGCTTTAAACATACTTTGTGGCCTGAGGCTGACCGTCCCTCACACCAGATCTTACTACCTGAGAAGTCAAGAAGTCCCAATTCTCAGTTACCATACTTCATTTCTCCTAAGGTTTAAGATGCTCTCAAGTCACCAGTCTACAATTAGTACACATTATCATTAATGTTAAAGGGACAGCAATCTTGAAATCAGGTTGAACTAAACAAGAGTTTTATAAAACAAAGCAAAAAACCTCCGTATAGCATTTGGCCACCGCTCTAGGACAGACTCCTCGCATTTTCAGCTCTGGGGTTTCTGAAATACTTCTGTAAGCTACAACTACGGCAGCAGAGAGAGACACAGGATGTGGTGTTGACGCACACGGGGGTTGCCAAAATGGCAACCTCAGAGTCGAGGTCCTCCACAGAGACCTGTTCTCAGTTTATCTCTTCTCCTAGTCCGAGATTACAGACTCACCCTTAAAATACTGAAAGAGGTGTTCCACATGCTAATGTGTGTGCTTTGTGTTTAAAACAAAATGATACTGCAAATCAACACAACTGCATAAAATACATCTAAACGCCAGGAGATGTGACTGTGTAAACTTAAACCATGCTTCTGGCATGACCAGTGGAGTCTCTCCAAAGAGTTTCTTTAGAGATCCCCAAAAAAGCAGCAGAATTCCTTTCAGTTCACAAACTCTTGTTTAGACGCCTTGCTGAATACATTCTTTAGTACTGTCCTGAGCAGTACTTCAAAAACTAGTTCCCAAACGGGCAGCTTATACAGCTTTTCATAGAAATCAATGCAGACTTCACCACTTGTGAATGAGCACATGCACTTTGCGCCTGGACAGCTATAGCTGTCAGCGTTACATGTGCAAAATTCATTCATGTCCTATATGGCAAGAAGAAACCTTCCCAAATTCTCTTCTCAGAGAGTTGAAGATAACTGAGAAGATTGGCATTAACTCACTGACCAGACGTTGTAATGGTGGCAAAAAATTAAGGCATTTAATCTATCAGTGCTATTTAATGACAATAAAGAAACATTTCCACTAAAACGATGCTACATTTTCCCGCTTTTCACACCTCTGCAAGGAAGCATCTGAAAAGGTGGCAGAAAACCGTTTCTCTATTTTCTACATGTCCCTAAGCCCCTGGAGTTCTCTTTCGCTACCCTGTATGTTGGCTACTGTTATTCCTATTTAAACCTAACAGGATCAATTTATTTTAGGCGCAGTAGCAGAATGCAGAAGCAACCCTAACCACGTTCCCGCGGTGGCTGTTCATGTCACAGGCCCTGGCACTGCTTGGTGCCTCAGCCCTGCGCCCTCTGCGGAGCACTGGGCAGCTCCAGCACTGCAGCAGGGTTAAAAATAACTGGAATGACAATGGAATGAATTTTATTCAGGTCAGGTTACTTTACCAGGTTTAATCCAGTGTATCAGGTGAAAAGATAAAAACAACACTGGTTTCCCTTTCAGGGAGCTTTTTAGAGCCAGGATTGCCAAAGTGGGAAGATGTAAGACTTGTAAATTTTTTCCCACAGCCTACAAAGCACTACCTTGAACAAGTCTCAGTACATTTAGAATTCATTTCTATTTACTACATTTCCAGTGAACTGTTGGGTTTTTTTTCATTTTTCTCCCCATGAGATTTGAAATATTTTAAATAATAGTACAGTAGTAGACTTACATTATATGGCAGGGTTCATTCCTGTCCTTCAAGCAGTGCCCTATTTCCCATTTCTTTTTTGTAGGAAATGTAGTTTTAATGTATTTTGATCCAGCGTGAGTATTTTTCACTCCACACCAAGGGGCATCTAGTTTCATTTGAAAAAAAGAAAACACTTAAGAGTATGCAATCGTTGGATAATAGCATGAGATAGTTTAATCAACTACTTCTATAGACAAAAGCTCTGGCAATCTCATTCTGGCAGTGACTTTTAATTCAAAATGGAATTTAAGAGATTTGGGCAATTTAACATCTTCGCAATCTTTGGATTTTTATACCATTAACTTTCAGGATTTTACATTTTAAAAACATCAACAATAGTACATTTCTTCTGACAGGATAGTTACATACACTGCATGCGTTTCACAGAAACTTCCCACATAACAAGTTTGTACTTCACGTGCAAATAAATTTAAGGATTAGGCAGTTTGTGGTTTTCCCTTTCTAGATTCAGAAATTAAAATACTCATATTTACAATTGCCAGTTACTGGTAATAGAAATGAACATGCAAAAAAACCAGAAAAGCCATCCCTAGTCAGTTAAGATCACTGCTCATTAAGCCAAGAGGAGAATTCCAGCATTCTTCCACCTTACTCCATTTAAAGAGCTGTCGTTTCCAAATGCCGTTACTGCTACCCGTGGCAAGCTCACAGCCATTGCCTGGTGTCTGCACATCTCCAGCAAGCTCGATTCTAAAAGACATTCAAGCTGGATTCTGGGACACAGATTCATCTAAAAATCTGGGCTTGTCAGTTTGTCCTTTTCATCTTCTCCTGGGACTCACACCGCAGCTCATTCCCCCAGCGCAAGGCTGAAAATGAGTATTTCTGGAGGCTGTAAACTGCTTTCCAAAGCGGAGAAACAGTCCTTTTTCTACCCTGAACCTCTTATGGTTTGACTCTGCCCTCTCATTGCTAGTACAAGCACACCTCGCTGCCCAATAGCGTTTGTTACAAACTGACCAAGATATAAAATCTTACCGGTCTCTATCATTAATCGTTCACTAGGAATTGATTTCAGTGTTTCCAAGTTGGCTTCTGTTTTCAGTGAACTAGAAAATCAGAGATGGGTTAAAAAAAACCCCAACACATTACAAGCGCATTTACTTTGCCTGATGAAATGTTCTGCAAGAAAGGTGGCTTCTGAAGTCATTTTGTTAGTGAATAAAATTTGCCTCATTTCTGTAAAAGTGCTGCCTGCAAATCCAAACTTTGCAAAAAGCAGCAAGTTTGGAGTTACTCAGCGAAGCCTCCTCACGCAGTTGAGCAGGCAGAACCCCTGCCTGGCTGCCACTGCTTGCCCAGCCTCCCAGGCACCTGGCTCTGGGCCAGCTGACTGCTGAGAATTCAGACCCTGTCACCGGTGGATGAGGCTGCTCAAGCTACATCTGCCTTACTCCTGGATTTGACATGGCAGCTTAAAACTGCGCCCGTTTTTAAGCACTTTGCGGAAGGACTGCTTCCACATTCAACAACCTCATTTATTTACAAACAAGGATTGACTGCAGGGTAGTAAAATGGACTTAAGACTAGATTAACTCCCTGAGCTGTGAGTTAAGAACTTTTATGGCTAACAGACTAATCAGCGCAATTCTAAATCTGTCAGATGATTAAGAGTCTAGTGAGCTTTGAAAACTTGACCTCACTGTTTAAAAGAAGGCAATGAGTTCACTACAGCTGACATTTAAAAATAGTTTTATTTCTTTTAAAGAACTTACCAGCCATTTATTCCAATATAAAGATCCAAATCTATTATTGCTGCTGCTTCTTCCTTTGTGCCATCAAAAGAATGTACCTAGAACATAGACGCACACATGTATACAAATACATACAAATAAATACACTTCACTTGAAACTCCATTTAGAAGTATGTATTAGTTTTTAGTTGCATCACAAATACCTCTGATAGCACATACTATGTATCAATGCAAACATAAGGATGGGACATGGCTCAGGTGATTCTGAATTTGGGCCAAGTTCAGGCTGAAGTCACTTGAAGACTGCAACAGAACTGGTTACCACGTTTTACTACAGATAAATATGTGTAGGAAAGGCCCGCCCAGTGATACTGCCTTGGGTCCAGGAACTTCCTACAGCTGATCCCTGGGAGCCCACACATAGGAACGAACCTTGTGTGCACTAAATTTTGTCATTCTCTCCTCGGTATTCCCCACAGGGCACCATCAGGGACACAGTAAGAGCAGTGTTACGTTCTCCACAGATTTTAGTCCACCAGAGCTAGAGAGACAGCCTGTTTGGTCACCCCAGGGACTAGAGTGGCAAGCGGTGGATCACAAGGTACCAAGAGCGTAACACATCTGGGAACCACAGCTTCTCAGCCCGAGTAAAGAGACTGACAGGTTCCACACGCCGCGAGGGGGATGGTCAGGTGCAGAGGGTGCTCGCTCATCCGTTCTCCCCTAGTTACCAGTTTTGCAAAAAAAAAGAAAGGAAGGAAGGAGAGGTTGTACAGTATTACGTAAAGAGCCCAACATGCAAAGTACTGAGCTAGGGGAAGGTTTTTGCGGCAACAAAGGGGAAACCCGGGGACTGAGATATTATTGTAGGAGCTGTGGTCTGAAGTTAGTAGGATAGAGTAATCCAAGCATTTCTTAGTTTTGGAAAACATTGCCATAATGGAAACCTGAAAAAGCGGTGCTGGACTTTCCTAATCATTTCACCCCAAGTTTTTCCTGTTATACTTCTGGTTAAAACACACAATCTGAATATCTAAAGACATAAGTAATCAAAAGCTACATCTGGATCTAATTTGAAAACGATGTCTAATGTCAGAAGCAAATGTTTGAGGTTACGGCTTCCATTGGGAACATGCATCTAAATTATCTGTGGTCTGAATGTGCTGCAGTTACAGACACTTGAAAATTGGGAAAAGGCCAATGTCAATTATAAGGTGCTTAAACTGTCCTTCTGACAGGCCAAGAAAAACTGCTCATGTCAGCTGCAGAGCTTTTTCTCAGCCTGTCTTCTTACCTTGCAAAAAAACCTGTTGGATAAGCAACAAAAAGAAAAATATGAGAAGGGACTAGAAAACACTTATTAATTAACAAAAATTTATACCACGTAACAGGAAGCCTACTCAGATTCCATAGCAAACAAGAAGTTGCACGTTATGCAACAATATTCACACACATGCATGTAAAAAGGAATGTAACGCTGAACTCCATACTTACCACTCCTCCTACGAATCTATCTCTGTTTCTTCTCATTATGTCTATGAAACAGAATAAATACGTATGCAAGACAGCCTTATAATAGACAAAGTTGAAAGGCTCAGGTTTCCATATTTTTCATATTCAGAATTTGCTCTGAGTATGAAATTCTCAGGGAAAACCCACCTAAAAATTCAGTATGTGAGTTTCTACAGTGGAGAAACATGGGCAGTTGTGTCTGTTCTGACAGGTCAAACTGTTTTTCAAAATACCTGTAAAATAGAAAGCACCTTTAAACAGAAAATCAGTGTAAGAACAAATACAGTAGAAGATTTTTTTCTAGCTTCTATCCTCCAGAACTAAAGACAGAATTCATGGATTTGCCATGCAAGAGCTCTTATTTATGCAAAGATTTAAAGGGAGCTCTTTTCCCATGGTATATTCACATTGTAGTGATCTATGCTGGAAGAAAGGTAAGTGGCCAGGAGCTTCAGTACTGAAGAACGCACACATACATATGCCAGGCATGTACTCTTAAGTGTGGGTGTAGCAGTTAATTTTTATTTATTTTTAATGAAAGAGGAACTGACTCGTCTCTCCGCAAAGTTTTCGAACGTCAGGAATGGGAGAGTGCAGACCACACAGGTTATTCCAAGGAGTACTTGGGTGATGGGCACGAGAGTCCCTTGCAGACTTCTACAACCTCAAACGGCCAAAACTGCATCTGAGCTGGCTGGGCTCTAAAGTAACAACCCAGAGCTTTTGCTCACTCTTCCACCAAGGTCACTCTGTCCTCTCTTGGACTGGAACAAATACCAGCATTAGGCATCTTACTTCTGCCCCATTCTGCCTATTGTCTTCACTCTTTCAAAGTCTTCCGCTGTTTTCTCTCCTCTCCTTCGTGTGCCTGCACCCTCTCCTTTTCACCCATTTTATCCCTACCTTCCCCTCCTAGCACTCCCTTTGAAGGAGCGGTAACAGCAAGGCAGCCGTCCTATGAAGAGACATGAAAACGGCGCAAAGGGAAGGTAACAAGGCAGCCAGTTTCCAAAGGAAACTAATTAGCACTGAACTAACCCCTCACTTGTCATTTGCAGTTAATTCTGATCCCAGTGCATCCGCATTTACCATTTGTCTGCCACGCTGCGCCCAGGCATGCAAATTACCAACGCTCAGGAAACACGGTGGAGGAACTCAGGCACAGCAGAAAGCCAACAAGTGCGTGGGTGACTCCGTATCTGCGTGTCATTTGGAAGATGACATTATTTGGACGAGGCGGGAGCACAACACTGCCTGTCCCAACGGGCTGGGACCGTAGGCACACACTGCATTTCTTTAGGGGTTGCTGTGAAAGGCAGCGCGCGGCACCGGGACACTCCCATCATCAGGTATCAGAAACATTTCAAAGGCAAAGGCAAACTCAAGTATGCACGAACCGCTGTGTATGATTCATACACCAACCGTTAGCTTGATTTACATTTTCCTAATATATAAATAAGAATAATAAACACAATAATAAAAAAAAAGATAATGCAACTGGCCATTTTGTTTGGTGCAATTTTCACTATTTTCTGTACGTTACAGGTTGGTATTTCTCTGATAAAAATTACCTTCCCTGTTTATCAGTGCAGATCTTTGAGAAAAACATCTGGAACAGAAGTTGGCTGTAACATTAAAAAGCTGACAGGAAAAGTGAGGAGAATTAATTATACCTACTTTGAATCTTCTTTGTAGTCTAGATACTGTGTTTTGACTAAATATAAATTTAATTGCAACTCATGATTGCTCTTGTGGTTACACAGCTACAGTTGTTTGATTAGTGGGGTTTTTTTAAACAGAAGACTTGTTTCATAAGGAAATGAAGTTTTAGAGACTGAGATACAAATAAGTCTCCCAAGTAACCTGCTGCCAATTTCAATCTAATTCTGAGAAGGGCAGTGGTCTTGAAACTAGTGCCCTCACAAATGGAAAGGCAACTTGAACTTCCATTCCTAGCCACAATGAAGCCCAACACATGCTGCTACTTGCCCTGTGAAAAAGAAAGGGGGAGTGGACAGGGAATTTCTCAGAGAGATATTAAAAAAAAAGAAAAAAAGAGGGATACCCTAGAAAAGCATGAAGAAACCAGACACATGGTGATCAGAATAGTAACAAAATAAGTCAGTAGGAAGCTAAACCTTACTAGTTCCAGTGCTGAAGAAATAACCTCTTTCTTTGGGCAAGTAGACTGTCATTCAATATAGGCTGGTCCTCTGGTGCTTCCCAATAAAGAAGTTTGCAAATACTCCTCCATGGTGGTTCTCGGGTTTAGTTTTGACCATAAAATTCAAATCCTGTGGCATTTTCAGGTTGAGATCAAGACACTAAAGGACCTGAAGCAAACTGGCTTTGCTGAGGTAGAATACACCCAGACAAAAAATTCTAAGTTTGTGTAGGAAGTGCAAGTGATCTTGTTCATTCCCTCCATTTTGGTTAAGAAAACTCCTATTTCCATGTCACTAAGCCTCACAAACCCTTCCCAGCAGGTGAGACTTCTAAATACTTTGTAATGTGACCTTCACCATAATATGAAGGCAGTACCTTCACCTAACTACCATTCAAATCACCATTTTCTGTTGGAGAAATTACAAAAATGGAAAAAAAATCTGACAAAAAAAGTGCTTAGGGCTGCTTCAACAAAGGAATTTCTTCTTCGTTAGCTTTTTCTATCAAAGTGAAAGGATTCAGAAATAATGTTCATTTTTTACAGGTGAAAATTAGCCAAGAGAAAACACAGCATAACTAACTAGAAAATAATGATTAAACATTAAACAAAACAGAGGTCATGCTCAGATACTACCCACTGGAAAACTACCATACTTCTCTTCTACAGGATACCTCTGCAGGTGCTTGCTAGCTATTCCAGGGACTGCTACACCAAAACTACAGATCAGCTGAAAACCCATGACCTACCTGCTTGCATGTCGCACCTTGCCTTCTTTTTTTTTAGCTCATTTATCAAGTATACATTGACTATTAATTTTAAGAATTCACTTATCCTGTCTGCTAAAGATCATGAACGCCAGACAGTGCGCAACTCTCTAACATTCAGATAGCAGAAATGAAAACAACTCCAAAACTCTGGCCATGCTTCACAAACACATGGAGGACAAAGACCAGGGAAAGCTGTCCATTTCGAAAATACAGAATTTACAAACACTGTGTTTGCAGACATCTGTCCCTGAGAGTTCCAATATTTCTTCCCTCCCTCTTATTTTTTTGCTTTCTGTCTTTTTCATCAATCATCTCCTTTTAAATGCAATTTCCAGGAAGGGCTGCTAAAAAGCTCAGAGAAACGAGATTTACGTATTTCATACAATCACTGAAACAGCTGAAAAAAGACTTTTCGTCATTATCAACTTTAATTAGAAAGGACTCACCTACTACTTGAAAAGGGATTTTTCTTCCACCCTATTACCTCTTTGCTCACAGCCCAATTTCAGTGCACTTGATTAGAAGTTTTTTACTGCAGGTCTTCAGCTGCAGTCCATCAGGTAAGAAAAATCAGAGACTTTTTTTTTTAACCCAGTAACACCAAAGCAGTCAGGATCTTAAAATCTGATACTCCACCAGTGGTTTAGTTTGCCACAGAAAAGAAACAGGTTATGCTCCAAGGTGTGCTTTGCTGAATTGTATGCTGAGCTCTACCAGGAAAAAAAAGTTCTGTTCATTTTGCTGAATATTTTACTGTTTGACTGTAGCATTATGAAGAAATTAACTCTACTTACTGCTAATGTGGCCTTAGGAAAACACATAACTAACCAGTGCCCTCCAGTGACTAATTTACTCAGAACAGTAATATGCAAGCAGAATTCATTAATAATTCATCTTATTTGAATTTAGCACTTTAATCTTTCAGTCAGTTCCCTCTGTAGACAAAAGTTCGCAATACAGTTATGCAAGCTGATTTTTGGGGCTCGCCTTGCTTCTTTCCGTTCAGTATTTACACTGCATATATAATACTTCGAAACACAGACGTGTCTCCAGCTCCCAAGATTTCCTTTTTTTCATGAGCTCTCAATTATCTGCCTGCAGCTAACAGACACCTTACTAAAAGCTTATTTTTTTCCACTGCTGACTTATCCTTTTTGACAGTTCTGTTCCCTTCCCTGTGCTTTTCGATCCGTAACCCAAATCTTTCACACACTAGTTAAATTATTCTCCCCATGTCTCTAAGAGCTCTTGAGTGTGAGCAAGAATGAACAACTGACACACCCAGAAATCCACCAATTCTCACCAATTTTACAGAAAAAGACACATTATGTCAACAGCAGGCACGCAGCAAAATTTAACAGACAGCACTACTTGAAGGCAGGCATCTCTCTTTAAAGTCCCATTTCTGCCAAAAAACTCCAGAGCCAACCCTGCAAATTGCAGGTCTGTACTTGACAAGATGTTACACAGTAGAACACATAAAACAGTCTCATAAATTGCTGCAAGTCAGTTTATAGTCATCAGAAGTTTCTTACTTGAGTTGGATGTCCTTTGGGCAAAATTCTAATCTATCAAAATCTACGAACAGAAAGAACAAAAAACCTACTTAGTGTTTTAGGATTTTTTAAACATAGGTCTAGGAAAAAAATATTGAATTGCTAAGGTAACACTTACCTAAGCCACATTCTCCAACTGCTATTACCTTTGTCTTATTTCTTTCAATCAGATTTTTTAATTCAGATAAATATTGTTCAGGGCTGCTCTGCTCAAATTCTCCACAGCGGGTAGGATGACAGCCAACTGTACTGTAAAACATGTCTAAAGCAAAAGAGTATTAGAAGTTTATAAAAAAAGGGGAAAAAAATGAAAATTCATATAGGTATAGACAGTAACTTTTTTATTGCTCATAATTTTGAAAGAAAACTCCCTTTGAACATCTTTATCTTGGTGATGATTTTATTACATTGATATTTTCTGCTTTAAAAATGTTAGACAGTATCTCCAGCTGGAGTATGCACTAATTGCTTTACTCCAAAACTGCAACTCAAAGCTGAATTATTCTGATGAAGCAGCCCTCCTCCCCTCAAAAATATCACAATTATCAATGTTGGAAGAAACCTCAAGATCATCTAGGAACACATCTCGTTCAAAAAGCATGAGGTTATCCTCAGCTGTAAGCTCTGCAGGCAGCATGCAGTTTCCATCATGTGCCTCTGCATTAGCTGCTACAGAATTTTGCAAGCAACTTCTAGCCTCGTTTACCTACATATCTAATCAAGATTACTTCAGTGCCAAAACTAACACTTCTGACAAGTGCCTTTACAGAGAATGTAAAAACACGGGGGAGGGAAGGCCCAGAGCAACGTGACCTAGTATTAGATCTAGTCCTGCTCTGATGGAGGTGGGGAGGTGGATTGGGTCAGACCAAATAACGTCCTCCAGTTCATTCCAACCTAAATTATTCCATAGTTCTGTTTGTAAACAGTATTTTAAAATGCATTTTAGTTCAATTACATATTTAAGTATGAGGGTGACCTCATAAATGTTTATGGGTGACCTCATAAATGTTTATAAATACGTCAAGGGGGAGTGTCAGAGCCAGGCTCTTCTCAGCAGTGTCCAATGACAGGACAAGGGGCAATGGGTACAAGCTGGAACATAGAAGGTTCCACAAAAATATTAGGAAAAACTTTTTCCCTGTGAGGGTGACGGAGCCCTGGCACAGGCTGCCCAGGGAGGGTGTGGAGTCTCCTTCTCTGTTGACATTCAAAACCCACCTGGACGTGTTCCTGTGTGACCTACTGTAGGTGATCCTGCTCTGGCAGGGGGGCTGGACTAGATGATCTTTTGAGGTCCCTTCCAACCCCTGACATTCTGTGATTCTGTAAAAGTAACTAGTGGAGTGGGATTTGCCTTTCCATGGAAAGAAAGGGAGTGCTATGAGAACCACAAATAGGAAGATACCTCTCTTATTCAAGTTGGTCATGATAAGTAAGTAAAAAAAAAAAAAAAAAAAGAGGTCACCAAAACACATAGATTCCCACCACATACGCGTTCCAGCTTACTTCTAGAAGATAGCCTTGTAACCACATTTTTACTCCAGAGATTTCCTGTAACTTCTATTTTTATCTAGAAATATTCTATCTAGAATTTACAGGAAAGATGGATTCCTTCCAACAGCCAGGGATCTAAAGAGCAACATACAGAAATTCATATGCAACGCATTCATCTGGAGCGTGTCCAGAGAAGGGCCACGAGGATGATCAGAGGGCTGGAGAACCTCTCCTGTGAAGACAGACTGAGAGAGTTGGGGTTGTTCAGTCTCCAGAAAAGAAGGCTCCAAGGAGACCTTATTGTGGCCTTCGAGTATCTCAAGGGGGCTGACAAGAAAGCTGGTGAGGGACTTTTTAGGATGCTGGGTAGTGATAGGACTAGGAGGAATGGATTGAAGCTACACATGGATCGGTTCAGATCGGACGTTAGGAAGAAGTTCTTCCCCATGAGGGTGGTGAGACACTGGCACAGGTTGCCCCCAGAGGGAGTGGAAGCCCCATCCCTGGAAGTTTTCAAGGCCAGGCTGGATGGGGCTCTGGGCAGCCTGATCTAGTGGGGATGTCCCTGCCCATGGCAGGAGGGTTGGAACTAGATGATCTTTAAGGTCCCTTCCAACCCTGACAGTTCTATGATTCTATGATTTTAATCTGAGATTCAGTGAACAGCTCCGGGGGCAGGTCCTTTTGAACTCTTCAATTCTGAGAGCAGAGAAGCTTATATTTTTGACTGACAATATAAGTTTAAGGTGAAAATACCATTTGTCTGTGCCAGCTGCAACGCATCTTTACTGTCTTGTAGACTTCCACCTGTAATCAAAAACTTGAAAGAAAAGTACTGTCAGCAAGTATGTTCTTCTTTGAACATCAAACAGAATGTTTAAGAAAGCACTCAGATATAAGTAAGAATCTAGACAGAGAACATCAGATGACAAATCCTAATGTGATAAAATTTCATAAATCAGTAACAAACCGCAACGGTCCTCAGGAGCTAGCAAACACACTAGGTATCAAAACCTGAGCTTCTTCTTTATCGAGCATCTTCTGTGCTAAGTATTTAAACTATTAAATGAGTAAAATGCTTCTATTGCAGCAATATTAACTTCATTAGACAATGAGTCAAGAAACTTTATTTATATTCAACGAATGATTCCCAGAGACATTCTCCCCGTCTTACAGGTGGAGAAACTAAAAACTCCTGAACACCCAAACCAAGACACGAGTAAGTAAGTAGATAAGAGAAGAGTCTGTAACAGAGTTGGGATTACAAATTTAAGAATTTCTGGCTACGATCTTTTATTTTTACTGTAAAATCAAAGTTTATCACATCAGAATTGTGTTTTTTGAACCATCCCTTCCAAGGTCTTGCACCCCACATCCTAACAAATCATGACTACGCTGCTTTTGGAGAACTCTTATCCCTAACACGTTACAGATCAGACTCGGTCGGCACCAAGTCAGACATTTCTGTAGCAGGCCCCACACGTCACTCGGGATACAAGATGACAGAAGTGGCCGCGTGTAGTACAACTAACATGGAAAATTATGCACAAGGTGACTGCAGTAGGTCAGAGAAGGTCTTTCTGTTGAAACTGTACAAAAAGAAATCCTACATACATATCACATGATACCACTGACCTTAAATAAAAGTTATTGCAGTTTCCATTGCCAGGTCCAGAAACTTGCAAAGTATTAGAAAGCCGGTAAAAATATTAAAGAAATTTTATTACAAGAAATTACCTTTTTAACGCCAACTTTGACCGCTCTCTCTACCACATCCAAAAGGTCATCTGTGAAAATTCATAAAAATTAAACCTGAGGTTTTATAGCATGACTGAACTACTTCTCAACTAAAAATCACTTTTACACAGTTACGAGCAATCTTTAAATCACACTTGACTAATCTTTAGAAGACAATAACAAAATGCTAAGTGAAGATCTAACTTCAATACAGGATTTTTTTCACATAATTTAGTAGATTGTTTTTACTGCTGTATCTAAAGGCCATGAGAGCAAAAAGCATCTGTTATAATTAATAATTATGATTCACCAATGCAATATTTTGATAGTTTATTGCTCATAATTCTCAGATTAGTTTCTTGCACACAGTCCTAACATAAATATGTTAGTAATTTTCCATTTTGCTCTAGAAGCAGTAACCTGTAGACAACTTAATAGCAATGCAGTAGATAAGAATATATTTCGTTTGGAACATCTAAATTACTTAATCACACTTTCTTCTTCAAGCCACAGTAAATAATAAGCATCTAGTTTCTGAGGAAAAAAAAAATCTAACCTCGCTTTCTGGCAAGAAAGAGGCTTCCATTTTAACAAGAGGGATCTTATCTTATCAGCAAATACAAAGAAGCATTTACCTTGATGTTTTTGAGTTCCCCTGTAGATTCCTCTGAACATAGGATCTGTCAGGTTAATACCAATATCTATGAGAAAAAAATTAAAAATTAGACTCTACACTCACTCTACATTTCATTCTGAGCATTAGGCAACTAGGGAAGACAATGGAAAGCACATCTAAGCAGTCCCTGACAGGCCATATAAAGCTTAAGCATAAGTTTAGTTTCCTAACTTATGAGCTTACAATCTTACTAGAAGGAACAGGAAACTAAAATTTTGGCCTTTTGTGGAACTGCAGACTTATTCTATGAGTGTCTAAGACATACCCTCATATCCACCAAAGCAAACACATATATACTGTTTACTGCAATTAAGTCTGGTTTTTTTACATGAATGCACAAATTCACTTCTGCCAGCAAGGACTAACAAGGAAGGCAAAATGCAGCATCTCACACGCAACCTTTACACAGATGGGAACAGCAGCAGACTGCCTCATAAAAGCTGCCTGTTTTCCCTCCTCCTGCCCACCACCATGCAGCCTGGCCATCAGCATGAACAGGAAAACCTGCAATGCAGGCACTGACCGAGGCCACCCCAGCCCCAGCGCAGTGTTCCCTGTTCACTGGGCTCTCCCCTGAGCGCAGTCTTCTCTCTTCACTGGGCTCCCAAAGCCTTCCCTGAGCTGCCGCCCCGCAGGCCCGGGCTGAGGCACAGGCTTCAGGTCCAACACGCTCCCGCAGCTGCCAGAGCCCATGTTTCTGGAGGGAAGGGAAATTTCTCAGGGCAATATTAGCCTGCTCAGCAACACATAAAGCTTCGTGGAATCGCAGAATGGTTTGGGCTGGAAGGGACCTTAGGGCTCATGTGGTTCCAAGCCCTCTGCCATGTGCAAAAAAGTTGCCCCGGGCCCCATCCAGCCTGGCCTCGAGCACTGCCAGGCAGGGAGCACCCACAGCTTCCCTGGGCGCTTCCACTGTCTTACCGCCCTCACAGCGAACAGCTTCTTCCTGACGTCTAATCCAAATCTACCTTCCTCCAGTTTAAAACCACTGTCCCTCGTCCCATCGCCACACGCCTTTGCAAACAGACCCTCCCCAGGGAAGAACTTCAGCCTGAGCCGACCTCCGGAGATTATTTACGTGCTTCCTGTCCAATTTCCCAATAATATGAACATCTTTATCCGAGACACCTGCATGCACCTGGAAATAAACAGGCGAAGGCGTCAACGCGAGAAAGGGGAC